GTAATTTTGCTGAAAGAGACAGAAATATCAGAGATAAAATTGTGTTTTCAGTGACTGGTAAATTACAAGAATTGCTTTTAAGAGAAGAAAATCTGGATTTGACCAAAGCTGTAAAAATCTGCAGAGCCTATAAACAATCCAATAAACATGTGAAGGAATTAAGAGAAACATTAGGTACAAGTACGTCTACTCAAAGAGTGAATCGAGTGTACAAAGAAGATAGGAAATCTAATAATTTTCCATCCAAGAAAGCAACGCCAAGAACAAGTTCTGGAAATACTTCATCTTCGGCGAATCAGAAGCCTGGACAACAGAGACGTGGTCAGGAACATTATAATGAGTGTGATTTCTGTGGTTACCGTCATAAACCAGATAAATCAAAATGTCCAGCATGGGGTAAAACTTGCGATAGCTGTAAGGGTAGAAATCATTTTAAGAATAAATGTAAGAAGATTAATGCAGTCATTAGTAACAGTCAAATCAGTGACGACGAAGAATTTGATGATAGTTGGCTCGCTGTAGTGAAGAAAAGTCGCAATGGAAATTTTGTTACTGCCTGTATGAACATTAATGATTTGGAGGTCAGATTCCATTTAGATACAGCCTCTGATGTCAACACGATTAATGAAAAGTATGTTCACAAGAAGCAAATCAGGAAAACCACAACTCGTTTGTTAATGTGGAATAGAACTAACCTAAATCCAATAGGTGAAGCTGAATTGACCGTCATCAATCCACGTACAAGTGAAGCCCACAAAGTACTATTTATCGTTGTACCTGATAATCTAATGTGTCTTCTTGGCCTGAAGGCTACGCAAGAAATGGGTCTAATAACATTTAACGATGAGAAGTTTATATCAAGTGTTAAAGTTGAACCTCTTGGTAATCTTGGTGAAGTTAGCCTTGTAGTAGACCCAAATGTTCGAGAAAAGGCGTTACCATGCCGAAAAGTTCCGCTTTCCCTGGAAGAGGAAGTGAAAAAAGCTATAGATGTCCTAGTCGAAAGAAACATTTTAGTTCCTGTTACAGAACCAACAAAATGGGTGAGTCAAATGGCAGTTGTTTGTAAACCTATTGGAGCTCTCTGCATATGTATCGATCCGCAACCATTGAATTCTGCTCTGATAAGAGAATATTACAAGTTACCAACATTAGATGATGTTTTACAAAAGCTACACAACGCACGGATATTCTCGAAAGTCGATGTTCGTGAGGCTTATTATCATTGTTGCCTAGATGGAGAGTCAAGTTTATTAACAACTATGATCACTCCATTTGGACGTTATAGATGGTCTCGTCTACCATTTGGTTTGAAAGTATCCAGTGAAATATTTCAACGCAAACTAATAGAAGTTTTGGGTGATTTACATGGTGTTTTCACGATAGCAGATGACATCATTGTCGTTGGATGTGGTTCTACTGACATAGAAGCCAAAAGAGACAATGAACGTAAACTTGCTAGTTTATACCAGAGATGTGAGCAGCAGAATATAAGACTCAATGATGCGAAGAAAGAAATAGCCCTGACAGAAATTTCTTTCCATGGTCATAGAATAACAAGAGATGGTGTGAAGGTTGACAATGCTAAAGTTAGAGCCATACTCGACATGAAACCACCTACAGATGTTTCTGGTGTTAAACGATATTGTGGTATGATCCAATACATGTCGAAGGTTTTACCTGATTTGGCAAGCAGACTTGAACCAATTCGAGCTTTAACAAGAAAAGGCACTGGATGGTCCAAAGAATGTGAAGATGCATTTCGCAAAACAGGCAAAATGTTAACTAGAGCACCCGTACTAGCTTATTTTGACATAAAGAAGGAAGTCGTCATTCAAGTCAATAGCAGTAAAGATGGAATTGGAGCTGTTCTCCTACAAGAAGGAAAGTCTGTAGAATTCGCATCTAGATCACTGACCGTTGGAGGCGCTGTCAATCTTGTATGGGTTAGAACGTTTTGATCAATACACATATGGAAGACCCGTAAAAGTCCAAAATGATCACAAACCTTTAGCTGCTATATTAAAGAAACCATTAAGTAGTGCTCCTAAGAGATTACAAGACATTATGATGAAACTTTATAGATATGACATACAGTTTGAATTCGTGAAAGGTGTAAATCTAGTCATAGCTGATACGTTAAGTCGAGCTGTTGTTGATGATTCTCCAATGATGGATGAAGAACGTCCAAGAATCATGAGTATCAACATATTTGCTGAAATACCTGATGAGAGATTACAGGAAATTAAAGAAGCCACAACGAAAGATGAAACACTGCAAGAATTACTTTTGGTGATAAGTAATGGATGGCCTGAACATAGAGATTCTCTTCCTGATGATCTCTGTGAAGCTTGTCAGGAAATGAAACCGAGAAATCAGAAAGAGACTTTAAAACAACCTGATACTGTCAATCAACCATGGGCTTAAATTGGTACTGATTTGTTCGAAATCAAAGGTAGAAATTACCTTGTTTCTATTGACTACTACTCAAATTTTATAGAAGTTGAACTATTGACTTCAACAACTAGTAGTCAAGTGATTCAAAAATTTAAGAAACAATTTGCTAGATTTGGTATTCCTAAAGTGATCGTTTCTGATGGAGGTCCTCAATTTATTTCCCAAGACTTTAACATTTTCGTAAAAAATGGGTATCTCACACAT